AAACCTTACTGAAGAGTGCCAAGTAGCACGAAACCCAGGTCCAGGGTTTCCTGTCGACTACCTCCAACCACCATCTATCAATATTTATTCATTATGTAATCACTTGTTTTTAGCCGTTTGAACTGTTGTCACAATCAATGTTGTAGAATGTTCTTTCACATAAGGAATATATATTTACAGTATTCAGTCCATTCAATTTATTTTCACCTTTACTATACTATACTAATGTGTCTTCAATATCACTTCTAACCAAACCCTTTCATGTAATTAATTTAAACCCATTATGTAACTATGATTTTAAATATCACAGGTTGTAAGCAGTTGACGAGAACTAAACAAAATAAAATGAATTCATGCTATTCTGTTAGAATCTTTGTTCTTGCGATTTTCAATAAATAATCCCTGGAAGTTACCATTCATTTAGTCTTTTCTGAACAAGACAGGAATGTTCTATTACCTACCACTGTGGTTCTATGTTAAACTGTTGACAAACAATGATCAATTTAACTAAACAGCTAGGTAGTGAAGGTAAATAAATCTGATTATTGTATACTTTAGATAAATATTATCGTGTTGAGTATTTCGCTGATTTCCTGATTTTTGGGAGAACCAGACACCATCCAAATTTTCACGTGACAACCCAATTAGTACGGCCCAATCCCGTTTTCAAGACAACTAGGCACTATCCGGGCTTAAACTTTATAACCTGAGCAGTAAAACTCGACCCCGCTTCATAGGACAACCATACACCATATAGGCCTTAACGCCACAATCTGAATAGTACAGCTCAATACTGTGGCGTGACCACACAGATACCAAGCACCTTGGTGGAACAGCTGATTTAAAAGATCGAACCCTAACTATTTGAATCGTTTTGTTACTAAATTTCAAATTGACAACTACTGTTTATACAGGATCACAATATTTTTAATCTAACCTCTGAAAATACGACGAAAAGAAACTCAAAAAGACTACCTTCTAGAGACTTATTACTTGATCCTATTTTATCTCTTAAGAAAAAAAAGTGACCTAAATTTGTGGATTTATTTACCACCTAACAAGAAAACAAATAAAACAACTACACTGAATAGTTCACCAGGTAATTGAGTATGCGAGATGTAGTAAATTTGAGATGTATTAATACTAATTACTGGATCAAATTGATGTTGGGTGGGGTTGGAATATAGCACCTTGTGACTGAAAGTCAAACGTTCTAAAGAATAAGTTATCGATCCACAAGAAACGGATCCTTCGAGCATTCAGTAGTAGAGGAACCAACATTCTTTTATGACATTTCTCATTCATTATTGAGGAGTGACATATAATTGATACTAAGCGCTTTCTGGTTATTTAATTAATATCGTTTTATGACGGAAATCACCGTTTACACTAAAAAGTTACCTTCGTTAAACAAACATTTAGAAGTATACAATGTATTCTGTAAGCAAAATTACTAAATGAAAGCTGATTTGTATGTTTTTTTTCTCGCGTCAGATACATATTTCCAACAGACAGACATCCTTCATAATGATTATGTAACTCTATTACCAGGTTAAGAATGATTTGGATACAAAGAGTATAGTGTTTATAATTTCACATTATAAGTGATACAATGCGATGGTCTTTTTGAAGAGTTAGTTATATAGATTTCTTGAAATGTCTCGAAATGGATTATGAAATCAATAAGTTGTAATAAATGCACCTCATAAAAATAAGACATCGATGAATGATATAATAATTATGTAAACATTAATCAACTCGAACTGATGTACGTACGTACGAAGTTCCACGTTGCTGACTGACTGATTAGTTCTGCTTAGTTATGAAGATAATACACATTGAAGATTATCTCATATAGATATGACGTAACTATGGGTTAATTTGTGCTCATTACAAAAAAATAGTGTGTTACGATTGTATTACTTAATAATAGGAAAAATTTGCAAATTAACAACATCAACAGATGAGAGTCAAGTTAGTCGGTTAATGATCATTTATTATTTATTTGAACACATAAATATTAGTACAAAGGGGCATCAAATACATATGCGCCACACATGCCATTTGATTTGTATGTGGGCTGTAATACTGCCCTAGTGTCTTGACGGGAGCAGGTGGTTTAATTAGGCCATACCCGGAGCCTTCGACTTAAACATCTGACCCACAAGACGATAGAGCAACATCAAGAGATGCTGTCCCAGGGTAGCCGGTGATCGATTAGTTCATACGCCACTTGTTCCTTCAGAATCCTGGAGTCTATGTGTACTATGAGGTTGTAGTCAGGGTTTTCTAACTCTCCTAGGTGGGTCCTCCACATCCACCAACCCGGTTAAATCGCCGGGCACTCGCATTTCGTATTCTCAATTTCGTAAACATCCCGCCACGAGAATGCAGTGATTGTATGCACGTGGCCATGTGCGATCATTTCGAGAGGGAGAGCTGCCTCTCCCCAATTTCGGCCGTACCAAGGCATCATAACCTATGGTCGTAGATCGTAAATAAAATAATTCGAATTGAGTGGCTGGCGGTAATGTAGATATATTTGCTATTTTAGATTGAGTTTTAATATATAACTTACAAATCCGAATTTTTGTATTTAGTAACCTGTTTTCCATGAATGTTACTATTCGTTTAAATCATTTACAATTCAACAAAGGTATTGTGTTATTTCTCAGCTATCTACAGATGTGCACTGTTAAGAAACCAAGTAAGATAGAGATCCATTATTTCTAGGTTTTTTAATAGGTTGTCAGCTGGTATTAATGTGACAAAAGCCAACTATGATTTATCTTCATACACCTCCCATCTACGCTAAATTACAATTCACTAATCAGGACGAGTCACGCTGGAACAGATGGATTTACTCTATATCCTATGAGTCACATTATTCCTCCACTTATAATTTTTTATTGTCTTTCCAAATCATATTCTCAAAGTTAAGTCATTCTCACTACACATATTACTTACTTTGTTAACTTTATCTCGTCATCCCGTCATATTGTAGTAACAAACATTTATGTTACACTCTACCTTGACTGAATTGACGATTGTATACATTCATTTACTTATTCAATTTACGAAGGATCTTAAAGAGGCGAAGTAATGAATGCCAGTTATGACCGAGTTAAATCAATAGAATCACAAGATTAAGTTCCCAAACAGTAAAATAAGCATCCAAAATGGTTTTAAAAAATGTACAGATACTGCTTTTCAACACAACGTCCGAACCATACCTTATACAAAAAACTGCAGGTAATTTATTGGAGTCAAGAAAACAAAATGACTTTCAATTTATATTCTAGTGAACTAACTGACGGATCTTCCCGCAACAATCGTTACCTCGGCCTTCGCAACCTAACAGATTTCCACTGCTATTGGTCGCTCTATCTTACACACTGTGGTAATCGTTAATTGTATTGTCATCTCACTAGGAATTTCACCACTCTTCCTTACTTGTATGAATCAAAAAGTCGCTGTGTATAAGTATCTCTGATTAAGCAGTCATGCCAGGTCCTGCGTTATATCAATATAATCTCGGGTCTGTTGGTGACCAATAAAAACTGAAATTGCTGATGTGAGTTCTCGGGCGAAAAGAAAACAAGTAATAATCACTTAGTGTAATTTTATTGCTTGGATTGTTCAGTAAACAATAGTAGTGATATACACTTATTTTATCGAGCTAGTATTGAAAAGCGTTGGCGACTGTAGGACACAATGCGGAACTTGAGAATTTGTTAGAAACACGTGTTGTAAATAGATGTAATTCAAACGTATTGCAAATACCTTCGTTTAGAAAACTCAGTGATCTAGGTTACAAAGAATACATACATTAATGCGTTACGTCTGTTTAGCTCTTTTTACAGCAATGTGATTCGGTCATTTACTTGGTTTTCAAATTAGAAAGACGAAACACGTCACCATATAGTATTTCGTTGATGTACTTGTATGTTGATTACATGTGCAACAATATCAGTAATCCAAGGAAAACTATTAAAAAAGAAGCACTTTATACTTCAATCAATAAACTAAATGTTATTATGCTAACTGCTTAAACTTTTAGAATTCAGGTTGTAGTATCATATTTGCGCTGGTGGAGGCTATATGAATTGAATGAACTCGACTGTAAATGCTATCATGACGTGGTATATTGGTTAGAACAAATGCTTCTTTAAACTCTACTATACCAGGCAGGTCGATTGGAGAACGGTAAGATTAAAAGCAGTAAATTAAGGCACGATGGTGAAGTCGTACTGCCCAGTGCAAAGGGGCGCTACGGCAGTAAGGTACTTCCCTCGGACAGTGATGTTGTATTCTTACAACGAAAGGGGTTAGAAAAGGTCAACCCTGAAATGTCACACCTCACTTTACCCATGGATTTTTGTCTCCAGCGGTAAGGCCTGTCGAAGTGCGGAGTTAACAGTTCAAAAAAGTCCAACAGAAATGTCATAAGTGACCGGGCTCAGGAGATCACGCTCCCAGGTCTCTATGGTCACCAAAAGTCCGGTTTTTCAGACCCCTAAAGAAGAAATATCCCTCCACCCTTATACTTTTAGCAACAACCAAGATCATCTTATTCACGATTAAATCCCTCCCTCGACTAACTAAAAGAACCCGAACAAATAGAAAATATTTGAAAAGAAAAGAGTAATAGGCCAAACAGCCTAAAAAGTAATAAGTACTTTATTTTCCATAACGTAAATATACAAAAATCCTTTAACCGTCAGAGAAGTCCCATAAAGTGGAGTTAGAATTTATAGACAACCTTTGAGTGATGTCATAGTGACCTTGAGAAATTGCACCAACTTAAAAAGGTCTAAATAGGTTTATGAATTAGTGTGAAAAGTCAGAAGTTGATGCCAAAATCTATAACTCTCTATTTGAAATCTGATTGGTTTGTCTATCAATTAAAACCTCACTATAGAAACACGTGGAATCCTCAAATGAATTTTCGATATACACAAATCCTTTGAAAGATAAAATCAGGCATCTATCTGGAATATTTAATGTAAAGACAATGACGGAGGTAGATATAATAGTTGTATTCCTTCTGGAATATGAAATTGTTTAGTTGATCCAGAATTTGATTGTTTATCACGCCTAGATATTAATTTTGATTCTAATATATTAATTTGATTATCAATATTCACTTCAGATGTTAAATGATTTAAGTAAGATGAAGCAAGAAGTTCAGCATCTAAATTTTGATAAATAAACAAAACTATTATTATCTTACTAGATTTCTCTTCTAATATACGAATCTCTTCGATGGTTATATGAGAATATTTACATAATGGACCATACGTGCATGTACCAGAATTACGAAATGTTATACATGGTTTCTTTGCTTTCTCTATACTAAGTTTCTCTTTAGGATCTATATATATATTTATAAAATGAAACCACATTTCATAATTTATAATCCTACCAAGAAATTTATCATAATGTAATTTTCGAGCTTGTTGATGTTGTACACCTTTAAGATGATTTCTTCGATTAATTGGATTATCTGGAAATGATTTGTCGCAATAATCACAGATAAAACGTCTACCCATTCACAAGTCTTACCTATAAAATAATAAAGAAGAATAAGAATAAGGTAAACTATGTAATCTAATCACAATTGACTGATCATGCGTGTCTAGTTCTTATTCAGTGCACATCGAATGCAATCGACCATGTTGCAATGTGGTCATCAGTCTAGGTAGGTGACTCGACACTGCGGGCATTATATATTGAGATTAGATGGTGGTTGGAGGTAGTCGACAGGGAACCCTGGACCCGGGTTTCGTGCTACTTGGCACTTGTCAGCAAGGTGTACCTGTTTATTTATTTATTTAAACACATAAATATTGGTACAGGAGGGCACCAAATATATATGCGCCACACAAAACAATGAGAACTTGCAGAGAAGGAAAAAAAAGTTAAGGAGCGTAAAAAAAACGATAACGAACAGATTAGTGTAAGGCAGTGTAATAATAATAATAATGGGAGAAACAGAAACGTACACTCAGATGAGATATTTCAGTTAAGGAAGAAGCAACCACTTTTTATGTCGAAAGTAAAAGGTTACAGCAGGATCGCCACTGGCTTCTATTCTGAGCCATATCTGATAACGTCTCTACTCGAGAACGTTTAGATAGAACCGAATTTCCACCATAGACGCGCTGCTGTATAAGTCGAAAAATAAGGATAGACAGAGTAGGAATAAAAGAGAGTGAATAAATGATGTAGTAAATAATAACAATAGTAATAAAAATAATGTGAATCGTTTGATTAATAGTTGAAGCAAGAAAAGTATTTTCCATAATTATCGACAGTTCATCATATTTGTGTGCGGGCTGTGATACTGCTCGGATGCCCAGACCGAAGCAGGTGGTTATCTTAGGGGGCCACTCCCCGAGCCTTCGACCTGAAGGTCTAACCCACAAGGCAGTGGAGCATCGTGAGGAGATGCCGCCCCATGGTAGCCGGTGACCAACGATTGGTTCATACGCCATTTGTTCCCGCAGGATACTGGAGCCCATGTGCACCATTGATTTGGAATCCGGTTAAAGCGCCGGACATTCGCTTTTCGTCCTCTCATTTTCGTAAACAACACCCCCGCCACGAGAAGGCAATGAGTAGAACTTCCCTGGCAGAGGCTATATACGCGTGGCCGTGTGAGAGCATTTCGAGAGGGAGGGCGAACCCACCCCACTCTCGGCCATACCAGGGGAACTGGTGCTCTCTGGCGGAAGCTGGGTGACACGAGATCGAATCCGCCAAGGAGCACCAAACCCCTCAAGATTACAAGTACACCTTGCTGACGAGTGCCAAGTAGCACGAAACCTGGGTCCAGGGTTTCCTGTCGAGTACCTCCAATCACCATCTATGTAATCTAAATACAACAAACAGTATAAATCATTCATTCTTTTATTGTAAAACAAAATCTATTATAAAAAGGAATTTATTATTAGTTTTTTGTCTCTCTTCGAGAATAGATTATTGTATTCTCTTATTTTTACATATGCTTTCCTAAACAGATTCAGTAATATAGAAGATAATTGAATGATGTATATGATTTGTTCAGTAATAAAGAAAGAAGAAAAACAAACAGACAACCCACTTGGATGTATACACATACACACACACACGCATATATGAAGACAAATAGTAAAAACGAAAACGGGTGAATTGTCTAACAATTACCAAGGAGATAAGCTTGTTTTTACAATCAAACAACAATGACAATTAGCACAACAACAACAACAACAACAAATAGAACTATTGTTTTAAAAAGATTCTAACCAAACAGTAGAACTGACGGGAAAAAAACTCGGACAACCTGTACATTTAAACGTTTTGATTTGAAAAGACAATGAGGTTTAAAGACTAAAGTGTGAATACAATGAGAAAAAGATCAAATTGAAAAAGCAACACACTTTTAAGATGAAATTAGTTCATACATAGAAATATATATGTATATATTCATGTGGTAATGTAAGAAAAAACGGGGGGGGGGTGAAATGTTCGAATTAAACAAGAAAAATACACATATTCGTAGAAATGTTGGTGAAAACAATTGTCAAGTTGCTTTGGTTGAATATAAATGATTTTCTCTCATTAACTAGAACCGGTTGCATTTTCTTCAGAACCCAACCTGTAACAAAGTTACAAATGAAGTACGAAATAATTAGTAGGCTTAAGATGAAATCGAAATATCGACAAAAGTACGACAACGAAATCGATTAAAGGTAATTTACACACTTAACAAATTGAGTCAAAGTTCAAACCCGTTGTCTTTTAAGTATGGCATTCGAACGTTGCTAATCTGACGTAGCCGCTTGAAATGATTCACATGTGATTAGTTGTACGTTTCATACGATCGATTGACTAACTTTAGGACGTTTACTAAACAGGTTATACTTCAAAACTTCGTAAAACTGAAGTATGAGAATGGAACTCAATCAAAACTAAATAAGTACTAAATTCAGATGCACACTTTAATTACTTTTTTTCTCGAATTGGACTCGCTTCTCGAGGACGCCCAACTCCGAATATCGCACGGGCACGCTCTGATAATTGTCGATCATCATTTGTATTTACAGGGGTCTCTCTGATTTTTAGGTTTAGTTTAGGTCGATCACCACCCGAACCACTACTGGTTGAATCCGTAGAATTTGACTGAGGATTCCTGATACTAGGTTCATTTAATTCCTCTCGTGACAGTCCTGGAGGATGGTAACTTTGTCGTTGTCCACCGAACCCACCCATTCCGCCTCTATTTGGACGTCCATAACTTTCTAATAGTAAAACATAAACAAAAAATAAAAATTTCTCAAATTCAATTTGGTAACGAAGAATAATTGGTTGAACATACAAATAAACAGTATATTAGCTATATTTTATATAGATGATAAAAATATTTATCTAGTTACCTAAACTAACGGTGATTGTAACGAATTATGAGCCAAATGATGTAATGACAATTGATAAGCCGAACATCATCGAAATGTTAAACCACTATTACATATTAAACAAAAATTATAGTTTACATTTCATCTGTAGATTATAATATATACGTAATGGTAAAAAGTATTTTAAAGCACTGTTAGCGGGACATAGACTGGATTAAAGCATACTCAATGCACGATTGCTTTGGTGCACGCTGATTGGCTAATTCTTATCCGATCAGCACTAGTCGATACTTGGAGAATACTCTGGAATCTTCTCATGTAAAAACTATGAATAAACTAACGCTTTTCCTGCTGTGCTTCTTGCTTCCATCTAACCTTGTTATTTGGAATATTATCTCTTTCCTGTTCAACCGTGTTCTGATTCGGGGACTTGTCGAGTGATTTGGTGTCCAGGATTACCAAGCAATAGGAATAGCTGGGTTATAACCGTAAGAAAGAGATTATAACAAACACTAAAAAAAGTAATATGGAAGAGGAATATTTCGAGATTTTTTATTCCTGCTTCGGTTTGGGCACTCGTAGAGTATCCCGGCCCTCACACAGATCGAAAGATTTATGTGGCGCATATCTATTTGGTGCCTCCTCGTACCAATGTTTATGTGTTTATATAATTAAAAAATAAAAACAATTCCTTAATAATTAAAGGAACTCGATTTCAATAGTGTGATGAATTATGAACCGAGTAGAAAACTGAGAGCAGTTCAGTTAAGAAAAGTACAACCAGAAAAGACTCAGTTAACGAAGTTTCCCTAACCTATATGAAGAAAGCAAAAGAAAATCACAGCAGGATCGCCGCTTGCTTCTATTTTGAGACATGTTTGATAACGTCTCAAGGCACTAAGTTACACCTCTAGGAACCCAATCAGGAAGTCAGGATGAACCGATATATCCCAGTCCTATGAAGCTTTCGTCCACACCCTAAGATCGTATCGTAAACTGACCACCTCTCCACTTTTTCCAACCAGTCCCAGCATCGGTAAATAATGCATGATGTGGGATTCGGAGGAACGACATTCATAGTAGATCGCTGCTGCACCCATCTAACTCTGCTTATGATGATTTTGACTTGAGGAAATAACGAGGCAATCCACACAGGATGCACATATGCCAATAAGAAATCGATCAGTTGCGGTTGGTTCGGCATACGCAATGTCTATTCCAGCTACCTCACGAATAGAATCCCCATCCTTACCCAGACATTGCTTACTCCATGGTCCCAAAACACAAGGGAAATGCTTCGAAGATACCTATTGTCGAACACTAGCAATCTACGAATATCCTTTATTCCTAATGGCTAATGTTCCACACCCACAAGGTAGAATGGGACGACTTTCAAAAGGGGCCAGAGGTAAGTCATCTGTGGCTGGTGACCCATAGCACCCAAGGATTTGGGGTTCCTTCACGACTCCCACCTCGTCAGGTAGGTCGGTCGACATTAGAGTGCAAGTCAGAAACCTGAGTAAACTAGGTCGGCTTGAGCTGACGAGTAGTATCAAGTAAAATGTGGCTGACAGCCGAATATATAAGTCTGTGTTTTAAATGGATTATATTATCGTATTATTTGTAAAGCACTGATGTTAACAGTTTGGCATGTTCTTTTAAAAAAGGAACCTCAGTATGTTTAGTCAAGAAATCCCACAGATTTCGATCATTACGACCATGCTGGTAGATATTTTTAAGCTATCAATAAACGAATGAGTAACAATTATTCAGTTTACAGAGACTTACACCTTTACTTCCATCAAACACGTTTGTTAAAAAATATACATCCATTTTATGCATAACACATTTAAGTTAGGCCGAATAATCCTACTTAGCATTACACTTAGAAATGACTCATAGTTTTCATTGTTTTATTCTGTGGTTCTCTTATATCCTTTGTTTGAATGCGAAAACCTTAGAATCAGAAAATACATCATAACCGAACTTCAGCATCCCAGTTAAGTTACTCGAATGCACATTTTCAATACCATAAAAACCATGCAGAACGATTAAAAATACATAGTGAATGTTTTGGGGGAAAATGAATATCCATGTGAATTAATCAAATTAAGCTTATCCAAGTCACCAGTAAGTAATTACAAAATCATCTGTGG